ATATTATTTTAATTATAATAAATTAGTGGAAGCCCACAATTGGGTTTTTCAAAAATTCCTAACAGCCATTGAATTAGAAGTTACTCCAGTTATTATTGACAATACAAATTGTGAAGCTTGKGAAATGGAAAAATATGCTAAAACTGCTGTGAATAATGGATATTGGATTGAAATTGTTGAACCTAATACAGAATGGGCATGGGATAGTATGGAGTTGTTCAAGAAAAATGTACATTCAGTACAATATGATACTATAATTTCTTTCCTTCGTCGATATGATCGTAATATCACTGTTGATAGTCTGTTAGCTAAATATAAATTAAAATACAATAAGAAAACCCAACCACCAATACAATCAAACAGTGCTAAAACTTTCCAGCTTTGTGACAATCTGATAAATCAAATAGATGTAGCTTATGAAACCCAAATAGAGAATATTGACAATTTCAAAGATTTGTGTGTGTCACAAAAACAAAAAAAAGTAAAAAGTAAAAAAAAAAAATCTACTCCTGTTAACAATAATGATGAAGATGACTCTTTGATTCCTACAATTAATAAAACACAAGAAAAATATGAAGAAGAAGAAGATATTTTTGAAGGCAATGATTATGAAAGCCTGTCCCAAGACATTCCTGATATGAATGAAGAATCTCATTTATCGGTAGTATATCCTTCAAATTATGTCAATAAAGCTGTTAACACATCTGAAAATGATTTTTTATTTATGGATGTCCTAAATGAAATACCTGAAGAAGAGTACAGTAGCTATGTTGTTTTTGGAAGAAACAGAAATATTAACGAAGGAAATCTAAGTATTTTGAATTTACCTTGTGGAAAATTAGATAAAGGAACAATAACTAACGATCTTAAAGAAATGATACCTAAACTAAGCTTAAATAAACTTTGTCAACGATTCCCAGAAAATATCTCTTCATTAATTATTGAATTATTTGATAAATGCGAAGGAAATATTGACTGGATTGTAGATATGTTGGTAGAGTCCGGACATAATATATCGAAGCAACAACTGTGTAGTTTTATAGAGTACGAAGAAAATTATTGTATTAAAAATGTTCAACGTCAAGACTCCATTGAACTTTTGAAACGAAATAATGAACTAGATAATAATTTATTTAATTCTCCATCAAATTCACTGTCAAAAGCAGTTAATACAATCGCTGAAGTAACTGATTGTAAAAAGAAAAAACTTGGAAAAAAAGTAGAGAGAACATTTAATKTAAATGATGATTTAAGGAAAAATATTGAAAATAAATTTACATTTGGTGATTCGTTGTATTCTGACCATGTTTTAAAAATAAAAAAATTTAAAGAAAATCAAAATGCAATAGATAATACTGATTTAATTTCTCAAAGTTCTGAAAGTGTTGAAGAAGATCCTATGTTTGAAAAAGATGATGCAGGAAACTTTGTTCAATTAGTTATGGATAGAARTGTTCTTGCTCAATTATGTGATTATTTCGGCGATTTTTCTCCTAATTTTAGTGAGTATGGTGTATTTTCCATAAAAAATTGTTAATTTTATTAAATACCTAATTTTGGTCCTAGATCAAAATACATTACTAATGCCAGTGAAATTACCTGAAAAATTGGCTGAAGAACTTTATTATTATTTGATTGCAAATACACCTTTAGATGTTTGTAATCAAGATGCCATTTTACAAGGTAATCATTGTTTATTTTAAATATTTTTATGGTTTAAATTTTTTTTTACATTTACATAGGTAGTTAATTATATTAAAATGTATTAATTATATTCTATACTCCATGCCTCGAGAGAAGTAATCTGCGCCCCGATCAAAACATGTTCGATCAATGCATCCCCCTAATACTGAATGGCATAAAGTGAGGGAAACACCAATCAATAGACCAGAGATGGCGAACCTTTTGATAACTGCGTATCAAATCAAAATGTTTGGTTTTATTTTATTTGCCTTACGTGTCAGAAGCTTTTCAGGCCTTTTTTTTGCTTAAAAAATAATTGAATTAAACATAGAAACATGATTTTATTTGTTGTTAGGTATATATATACTTTGTTATATTTAAACTTAATAGCATTTACTATTTACTATTATATATTAATATAGACACATAACTTTTTTAATTACAAAAATTAGCTTTTAATGAGAAATCTGTTGCTGCATTTTTCCAGCTGCTTGGAATTTAATTTAGAGATTTTAATTTAATACATGCTATACTGATATCTGTGATTTTTTACGATATATTACAATAAGAAGTTAAAATTAATTTCAAATTATCAGACATTTTTTTGGAATTGAAACAAAAATTATGAATTATATTTAAATTGGCGTGTCAGTGAAATAATGCGTGAATGTCACAGAGTGATAAGCTTAACATAGGTTCGCTATCCCTGCAATAGACGCTTCTGTCAGTTTGTATAATATCTGGAACAGGTTATTTCTATTGTAG